CCCCCTATATATGTATACTTAGACCACTCTGTACTACACGGAAACTAAATCAGGTTTAATTTGTAATTAACAACCAATCTTATCTAAAAAAGTGGGACCTAAATCCAAGAGTAAATCAAAGGAGGATATGATTGAAGCCATAACAGTTAGGACTGCACATTGGGGAAAGACTTTGGACCTTTTCTGAGAATTCTCAACCAATGACATAATAAGGTCTTGGGATGAAGTGGCACAAACAGTTAGAGTGTTTGATATGTAGAAAATGTAAGATTGGAATGGAAACCTCCAACTTTAAATAGACTGGAGTTGAACTTTGATGGCCGCTTGTTGGGCAATCCAGGAAGAGCAGGCATAGGGGGAGTATTTAGATACAACTGAGGAGTGGTAGTGACCTTGTTTTCAGGACCAATTGGCTTTGGAGACTTGGTTCAGGCTGAAATATTGGCTCTTACAAGGAATAAGATTTGCAGTACAGCATGGAGTGAGGGAATTGGAAGTTGAAGGAGATTCACAATTAGTCATTTCATGGACCAAGAAAATCAATTCAGTCCCTTGGAAATATAGACATGATTTCAGGGAAACTGATCTCCTAGCAAAGAGGTTTAATTCTAATTTCAGATGGGTAAGAAGGACTACGAATGGGCAAAATTGTAATCTGATGTAATTTGGTATGGTGGATCGCTTTAATAACTGTACTAAGTATCTGAATTATTAATGAAATCTTTTTTGCTGATAAAAGAGAACACGACCTAAATCATTTAACATGGTGAAAGTCTTTATGGTGAGTCTTTTATTTGAGATAGGAAATTAAATTAGAAAGGTTGGTTATTAATAACATGGGTCTCACACCATTTGAAGTGGGTACTCTTTATTGAGAGATGGAGGATAAACACCCTTACCTTTTTTTGAGAGTGGAGGTAGCCATATGTCAAATAAAATTTCTCTTAGATTGGATACTCTTTTCTGAAAGGGAAGGTGGCCACATTTGTTCTGAAGAAGCTCTTTGGTCTGAGGTCCTTTGATGAACTAATGTGCTTATCTTTTGCATTTCATTACTTTTAGATTGAGCTCTGCATTGGTCTGTTTGCATTTCTGCTCTCTTCAAGAAGATTGTGCACGATGTGTTTTAGTTGCACTTTCCAAATAGAATACAATATAAAGAGGGGAAGTTATTGCTCTCACTTATGGTTTTGGAAATCACCTATTTGGAAATTAGTTACTGGCAAATAAAATCTGAAAATCATGTATAATGGCACTCCTAATGACATATTAAGTATCTTCCCTTTTATGATAACCGACTGTCCCTGAAAAATTCATGTACAATTGGTACTGTTTATTCTTTTTACCTATGTCCAGTGAACTGGGGTTTTCTAAATACATTTGTTAGGACCATCCACACTCCTAGCCAGGTCAAGTTAGCCAGTGAACCAGTTACGTCTGGACCTAATGCTGAATCCAGAATGAAGCCCCCCATCGAGAAGTTTTATATCTGCAAGCCACATCAGCCATGCCAGCCTAACAGTCCTCCAAATTAGTTATGCGAATCATAGGAAGCTACTGATTTTTGAATATTCTGGTTGTTATTCTGACAATCCGTTAAGATATGTAACGGTCCCTCTGTATATTTCCAGCTTTCTTTAATGAAAGGCAGAATCGTTTTCCCCTGAAATCATTCCCTTTCGAGAAGAGTCTTACCTCCTATTTTGAGTAGTTTGGGGAGATGCAATCATTACAGCCATGTTAGGCCCAATTTGATCCAGCCCTTAAGGCTAGGCCCAAAATAAATTAGAGTGGAAAGCTTACGAGAGAAGGCTATACACCAATAGGTTTTTGGCAGGAGGCCACATCAGCAGGAGTTAGCATAGATCCCAAGGCCTAACCAATTTGATTTGATGTAATAATGATTATATATGAGCGGGCTGTTATAAGGGAGGGTATGAAAAATCAGATCTGAATTCTCTTCATCTTCTCATTTCTTCTCTCTCTACTCCCTCATCTTTGTTTTCAAGAGGGTGGTTCCTCAAATAAACCCCGGTTATGCAATTCCTAACATCTGGTATCAGAGCAAGGTTGATGCCTAACACTAGAGCAATGACTATGGATTCCCATATGGATCAGATGGAGGTTGAGATACATTGTTTTAAAAGCGCAAGGGCCAATTTGCGCCTGAGGCACAAGGTGAGGTGCACGCCTTTTTATGAAAGGCGCAAAACTACAAAAAAAAGCTAAAAATAAAAAAAGTCAGAAAATTCCAAAAAAAATTAAAAAAATGCAAAAATATTAAAAAATATTAAACATAATGCTAATAAAAATATAAACTTAAATTTTAAAATAAATGATTTGAAAAACCTATTATCTAAAATTAAAATACATAAACATAACATGTAAAATGTATTCAAATGAAAATTTAAAAATAAAAGCAAACATATAAAGCATTTTCAAGCATGTAAAACCCACAATCTCTTTTTTTTTTCCTTAATTGCATTGCTTCAAGTAGTTAATGTGATTTGAAACATATTACATTCTTGATTCTATGAGTCGCCTTTGTAGCCCGCCCCTTGAGGCAAGCCTGAACAAGTCTATGTTAGGGTCTGAAATTCTTATTTCTCACATAAAAAGAGAAGAGGTAGCTGCTCAAACCAGAGCAATCCAAACCACTTCCAACTGCAGCCACTCACTTTTGCCTTGAGCGCCACACCCAAACAACCTCTTCAACCTGTAACTGGAAACTCTGTAGTCGGCTAGGGTTTTGGGAAAAAATTCTGCAGTCCAACTTTCTTGGCAATATTCGGCCAGCTTCTGACTCTCCAAACCCTCTACCAACTAGGCAAACAAGATCTCTGATTGATCAGCAATTTATCTCTCCATACACCTTTCAAGTTATTTAAAAGAACAAGTTTGTCAAGTCTACGTTGTGAGTCTTGTGAATTCTCAAAGCATTGTAAAAACACTTATCCTTCAAGTAATAAAATATCAACTATTCCTTTTAATATTGTTCACTTTGAAGTAAACCAGTCTTCTAAAACTGATATAAACTTGGTTAAAATTAGAGAGAAAAGTAGAAGAAAGGTAGAAGACAGCAGTACAAAGGGAGAAGATGGAGAAAAGAAGAGGAAGAAGAAGAAGAGTTCGATAATCTCCTCTCTCCCCTCTCTGATCCTTTTGTTAATCTTCATTCACTAAGTTAATTACAAGTATGCCCTAGATGTGATTCAGACCAATAAAATTAGCAGAAATCTTTAGATTAGAGCAGAAAGAAGGAAGGAAGAAGAATAAGACAGCAAGAAGAAGAAAGAAAAATGGAGAAGAAAGGAGTTCGATAATCTCCTTTCCCCTACTCTAATCTTTTTATTAAACTTACTTAAGTTACATAATTTACAAGGAGTCCCTTAAGTAGGCATACACATCAGCAATACACTTAAAAAGCAAAACAGAAGCTAAAGGCCCATAAAGAAAAAAGGCCCAATAAGAAAACATAACAAGAAGGAACTAATAAGAATGACACTAAAGGACTAGGGCCCATTCGGCCCAGTCTCTCTACAGCCCTTAAGTGGGCGGCCAGCTAAGCAAGAACTTAAAGTAATCTTACAAAAAGAAGTAGCAAGCCCACAAAGACATGCCCATTAACAAACAAATTGATAACACATTACAAAGAATAAAAGGATAGATACTAGGGCCCATTCGACCCAGTCTCTCTACAATAGTCATTTGGGTCATTTATCTTTTTGTTCATTGAGTCAATTGTTTCCAGAGTTATTTAAAAGAATAAGTCTGTCAAGTCTACGTTGTGAGTCGTGTGAGTTCTCAAAGTATTGTAAAAACACTTATCCTCCAAGTAATAAAACATCGACTATTCCTTTTAATATTGTTCACTCTAATGTGTGGGGGTCCTTCACAGCTATCCCCATTCCCTTAGAGGGGTCCTCTTTTGAGGTCTTCCATTCTTGTTCCTCTCCCTCCTCTTACTAGTCCTCCAGTTTTTACCACTCATCCTATTCCCCAAAGGTGGTACTAACAGCAAAGGCTAAGGCAAACATAGGTTGATTCAACACCCTCAGTTGAGTCTTAGGTGCTTCTAATTATCGAAAAGAGGACATGTCCAATATCTTCACCACTAGCACCTTCGTTTTTAGACCTTGACATACCC